AGCATTGCCTCAAATGATTTGTTTGGCACATATGGTCATATGGAAAGTATCAATGTCAACAGGGTATTGAACCCCAGAGGGTTCAAGGAAATTTTTTTCCTAACTAAAATGTTTGCATTATTAATGGCCACTTAAAGTTGTCAGTGTTTCATGGTTGCTGCTTGACAGATACTGTATTTTGTATAAAAGGAAAAGTAGGTATTGTTACAGGCTAGATTCAAGGAATATTTTGAGTATATTCACTGCACGTTTATTTTCTTTAACTGTGGTGGGGTTTTTTTGTGGTCAGATATGAGAATTTGATGCAGATCAACTTGGAAGCATCAGAAGTGGATGAAATTTCAGAGATACACACAAAGCTGTTGCGTGTAAGTATCTTAAAAGGCCTGTGTTATTCTTAAAATGGTGTTTCTAAAGAAAAAGCCAAATACACAATAAATACACAATAACACAGGTTTTTCTGTGAATAACAGCTGAATTTTCAAAGTAATTTATAAACTGCCAAAAGCTGTTAAAATGCCCATACTGAGATGTGGGTAACTTTATGAAAATAGACTAAATCCTTTCATTAGCCCAGTATAGTGAAAATAATGAATTGTTCTTGAAAATACATTCTCATGATCAAAAATGCTCAGGTAAAAAACTATGACAACAAAATATATTTTCCTTTGCATTTCTTTGCCCTTTTTCCTTAAAGAATTTTAAACTACTTTGTTGCCTTACACAAACACACTTCAGAGTGATATGCTTTGAAATTTGCATCGTGTTTCTAGACAAGTAAGGAAAATTTGAAAATAACTTTACACACTGATGTCCTGGAAGCAGGTATAAAGTTCTGCATTCTAAAAGCAAAAGGTGATTAGTGCATTTTTAGTTTGCAAGTTGTATGAACTGTGGAGAAAGAAAGGTACAAATTATGTGGATAGTCAGGATACATATTTGTAACACACCGAAAAAAAGAACAGGTGTAGAAGTAAATAGGCACTATATGAAAGGTAGAAACTTATTGTTGAAAGAAAATAAATGCTAACTAACAGAAATACCAGCATTGAAGATGTTTCTTTGTTTAATAATACCATGCTGCTTCTGTTTTTAGCAAAGCCTAGGCTGATAATTGGACACCTTTCTTTAATGACGTCAGTGACACAAATGGGTCTATAATATTAATGTGTTCAGTCAGTTTTCAGCCTCAAGTGGTTTTTCATTTTACCTAGTGGTAAGATTGAACTTTCTTGCTCTTACATAGCTCTCCAGCTCTCAGGGCACAATAGAAACTAGTCTTCAAGATATCAAAACCAAACTTTCTCCTGGTGGCTTATTGGCTGACACCTGGGCAAATCAGGAAGGCATGCACCCAAAGGACAGAAAGTGAGTAACTGTATTAATTCTACATTGAGTTGTAGTTCATAAAACTCTTTAATAAGTACTTAAATTTATATATAAAAATGCTTAATTTTCTTCCTTTTATCACTCTAGTCCAGAAAGGCTGAAGGCACTGCTATGTTCCATCACAGATATTTACTACCAGTTCAAAAAAGACAAAGCAGAACGAAGTAAGTAACGTATTTGATTCACTCTTAACGTAAGCTGTAATGTAAAGGACAGGTCAGTCCTTGTTTCTTTGGGATATTTGTGGTAGGAATGGAGAGTTAGTCAGGAACAGTGCATATGTCTGTAGGTCTTTCTTAGTGAGATGCCATCTTAAAGCTCATATGAATGAAACGCCTGTATTGTCTCATAAATGGGAATTGCAAGACTGGAGAGGAGAGGAAGAACAAGAACAAGTAAATTATTGCTTTTACCTGTCAGGATAGGAGAAGGAAACCATATAGGAAATGGGTAAACTTGGTCAAGTTTTACATAAATAAAACTAACAGAATTAAACTGGTAATGTCTGTCATCTTCTCTGATCCTAGGGCTTCCTTATAATGAAGAACAAATTCACAAGTTTGACAAGTAAGTTTTTAAGTTATCTTTGGGAATTACTATGGTTGCTTTCAGGTCCTTCAGATGCTTTTGCTAATAACCTCTTCTGTTGACTTTTATTGTAAATTTTAACCTGTTTAGGATTGCTTTGTAAAAAAATTTCCTTTAAATATCTTAAATACATAGGGCTGACAGCATAAGATGATGAGGTGCTTTCCAGCAGTGGAGTTTCTTCACTTGATAGACCTTCTAAACGTAGATGCAAACTATCTGTTTGTTATCTGGGCATAATGGTCTTATAGGAGGTACTTTTTCTTTTTTTTTTACAGTTTTGTCAGGGAGGAAAAAGCCCTCAGTAAGAGAGAAGTGACTTTGTAACTAAGGTGAAGATAATTTTCTACAGATGAATAAAACATGGGCTGAAATTAGTGAAATTCTGGAGTGATCTAATCGCCCAGGCAATGTAGCACACAAAATAAATTTTAATGGAGTTCTCTACACCTGTTTAAAATTTGTCACTTAGGAGAGATGGCCACGTTAAGTGTCTGTGTGTAACCCAAGTGTCTACCCTCCCATTTGGCTCTGCTGGCTCTACTGACTAACTCTTGAGCAGTTGTTCACAGCTGCTCTGCTCATACTGCTGTGCTTGTCTCAGGATTGATTCAGCTCCTCATACACAGATGCCTCATGTTATTCAAGTTGCCCTAAAGCATCTGAGACGTGTCCTACCTCCCAGTCTCAGAGCACAAGACAAACGGGAAGCCTACACCTTTCTGCAGAGACAGTTGGAAGCAGGACAGGATATCCTTGTGCACCAGAAATGATGCCCAATGCTTATGTTTAAGTAATTAATGTATTCTCCTAGTGAGTGGTCAGTCAAGTGTCCCCAGACTTTGCTGAGTGCTATATGAATTTAGAGGATGCTTCTGTAATTCTAAAAAATTCTTTCTGTTGCTACCACTGGTGTGGCTTCACTGACCCAATTACAGGTGGGGAGCTAACATGCAGAAGGCACTGGTATCCTCACAACCAGGCCACTTGATTTTCCCATAGTTAAAGCTAAACAGGGTAACTGCCAAGTGGAGGGGAGGTTGCCTTAAGATAGAGGACAGTAGGAGCAGGAAACCTGTAAGACAAATCTAGATATGCTGAAAGAGTCTTGGATGTGTCATCGCTCTGCAACAGCAAGGGACTGAACGTACTGCGAGGGGTAATTTTGTCTCGTGTTCTTTAGCATATGGTTGGAGAACAGGCAAACGTTGGGACATAATCCATAGCTCATTTTGAAATTGCACTCCCTTGGGCAGATTCAAGAAGTTTTAGGGCTTTTTCAACTACTCGGACTACTAATTCCATTAATATGTGAATAACTTCAAATAAATAGGCTTTATTTTAATGGTTTGAATACTGGTATATTTTCTGCTAGAAGTGCCTCCTTGGGATTGTTAAGGTAACTGTGATCCCAACTACACTTTATTTTTACTTGATTCACCCCAGAGAGAAATGTTTGGGTTTTTTTGTTAAGAACTGTGTGCCATTAGAAACTGACTGGCCTTTGCAATATTTGCCACCAAACAGACTAGGGAGCTGCACTCAGTTTGGATTTCTTTCTGCTTGGTTGATGGGTTTGCATGCCTGATGACAATCCAGCTACACTCTGGCCAGAATTTGATTAACCAGTAGCTATGGTGCAAGACTTCATGAAATACCAGAGCAGGTGTTAGTGTCCCAGCATCCCATAGTTTTGCTTACTGGTGCAACACGTAGCATAGTAAGGCAGTTGCACTGGGAGTACTGTCTACAACGCTAACCAGAATTAGGTTTTGTTTTGCTTTCTTTTCCTTATCTGCTTTCTTTTTCTCATAAATTTAAGCTGACACAAAAATAATGTGTTTTTTTTTTTTTTTCTTGCATGTATATTACTTAGCACAAAGGTTTATTCATATATGCTGGAAGTGCCAAGTATCTGCAGAGAGCAAATAAGAAATAATAAAGATTTCTGTTCTTAACATTTATAATCCTTATTCCTTAAATGTCTTCTCTGAGTCAGTATTATCTGAGCAGGTACATTTGACCATTTTTTCAAATACAAATAATTGCAACTAGATGCTTCAAATTTTTTTTTCTTCCTACTAGGGAATATTTTTGAAACGTAAATTGTCAGTTCATGCACCGTGTTGAATTCTTACATGTCACAACAGCATGAATAAAGGTGGCTGAAGGGACTCTTAAGTCCACCCACCTCTTCTCCAACTTACAGAAAGTAAGTTACAGGAACAGGGTTTTGAAAGCAGTGTAACACTGTTCTGGTTGTTTCTGTGTCACAGGCAGAAGCTGTATTTGCATGCTACAAAAGCCATAGCTCTGTTCAAAGATGAATGTGTCAGCAAGTATGATACATTTCTGGACAAGGCTGAGGACTGGACAAGGCAAGTTATTGATTTTTTTGTTTTAATATTTGGCAATGTTCACTGCGCCACTTTTGCAAAAGAAGCTTTTAAAAGAAAACATTTTTCTTTTAGGAAAATGCTTCACACCAGGAAGCAGTTACTGGCTCTCACCAACCAGTGTTTTGATATTGAAGAAGAGGTCTCCAAATACCAGGACTACATAAATGAGGTAGAATGCTAAAAAATGAAGTGTTTGCTTAGATGAAAGATAATTCCACATTATTTAAAGCAAGTCTTGTACTAATGTGTTGTATTTAAATGTAGGGCTATGTGGATGTTGTATTGGGTCTCTAGGAGCTTCATGGCTGATGTTGGAGTGGCATACAGAGCAGGGTGATTTTATTATTTATTGTTTTTTAATCTTGACGTCATTTTGGAGTTTGGTGGCATTGGTCTGTGGTATTTTTTAGTGGGGTTTGGCTTGGGGGGTTTTGAGGTTTTGGGCTTTTTATTTCAGTACTGTTAGCATTCCCCTAAAAAAATGTATGTGCAAATTGATGCAGGATCATTGAGAAGTGTTCTGCATAGCTGTTACCATAATGGTACCTGATCACCTAGAGTATTGTCTTAATACTCTTGGGAAGCATAAAAATATTACTCCCATATTCAAGATTAGGGGATATATGCTAAACTAATGCTGCTGGTGACATGAACAAAAATGTTTTGGTAAAATTTGGACAGTGACTCTGCAGGCTGTAAACTTAAGCAGAATTACATCAAATGAGAGCATTTTCGTGTAGCAAAATCATTATTCTTTACAAAGGAAATATAAATGAAAGAAAAGCATCTGACAGGTGTAAAAGCAATTAGGGATGGTGGTGTAAAAGCAGTTAGGGATGGTGGAGAGCAAGGTTTTACTTGTTATTTGTCTTTTAGCAGCACTACCAAAGTCAGTTGTTGGTTAGGATCCTGTTTCCTTAGGATATCTGCAGACACAACAAATAGATGATTCTTCCTTTTGAGAGTTTATTAGTGAAAGTATAAAACAGTTAAGAAGATGGAACAAATCCAGGGACTGTAGGTCATATCAATAAAAAATTTGCCGTGATGACTGCAACTTGAGAAATATCAACCACCTTACGACTGTAATGATTTTGAGACATCATAGCAATATACATATGACAACTTACATTGTAACATACATTTCCTTTTTATGTATTACAGTTACAAGATGCTCTGCCACAGAAAATGTTTGCAGCATCTAGTGGGATGAAACATACAATGAATACAGTCTATCCAAGCTCAAACACATTAGTGGAAATGACTCTTGGGTGAGAAGTTCTTAATTGGATTGATGTAATATTCTGTACTTGTTATAAAGATGAATTTAAAAAAAAAAAAATCTTGATTTGGTGATTGCTGTATTAAGATCAAGAATTTTATATTGCAGAAAAAAAACTTGGTATTGCTGAAGTGTCAGTACCGATGTGGAAGTGAGTGGGGGACGACACTAATATATCATCTGTCACTTGTAGTAATAACCAACCTGTTACCTCTTCCTTATTTTGTGCATAATGACACGTTGCTGAAAGCTGTGTGATCACAGTGATCATAGCAGATAACTGTCCCTACAAAACTTGTAACCTTTCTTTCTCTTCTTGTTACTACAGTATGAAGAAACTAAAGGAGGAAATGGAAGGAGTTGTTAAAGAGCTGGCTGAGAACAATCACATTTTGGAAAGGCAAGCCGTTCTTTTCCCATTTGGGCTGACACTAGGAACGGGTCTGATTTGGTACATGATGTAGATCCAGAACTTACACTAAAGGAAGATTCTGTAATCTTTTTTCATATATCTTGAACTGTTGATCTGAGGTGTAACCAAAAAAAGAATGTTTCAAGGTTTTGAATACATACTGTAAAATCATTCTGAACAAAGCAATTGTGACATTTTTGCTTCATGTTACTTATGCTTAGCTACTAAAAATAACTGCTGTGCAGACAGGTTAATTCTGAGTTTAAATACGGTACTGTTGCAGCAATCCAGTGATGTCCTAACTCCTCACTTTTAGACATAATTTTGAACAAATGTAGAATTATACCAATCCGAACAAATGATTTTGTAGTTTTCAGATTGCTTAAATTTAGTGAAGAGGAAAGGACAACATATTTCCTACAATCCTGAGAGGGTATTTTCCTTATCACATACAGGCTGACTTTGCTTTCTTTATGATGATGATAAAATATATAAAAATAATGATCTCTTGAAAGCTTCAGGATAAATTACTGGTAGTGCCGGGTTTAGCTTCAAGCTGCATTGGTTTGGTTTTGTTCCCCACCTCCAGTCCCATATTTGGAGCATAGTATAGAATCATAGAATCATTAGGCTTGGAAAGGACCTCTATGGTCATCGGGTCCAACCGTCAACACCGTGTCCTGAAGAACCATGTCCACGCGTCTTTTGAACACCTCCAGAGAATCCACTTTTGTATCTTCTTTTAGCATGTAGAAGTTAGATACAAACACATGTCTTGGCAGGTGGCAAGGGAGAGGAAAATCCCATAAATGGATTACAATGAATGAAGGATTGATTTTATAATCCAGTCAATCACCCAGGGATATTCTTTTTCTCTGTTTTAGATTTGGTGCTTTGACAACCGATGGCGGCCTGCGGAACATGGACTGTGGCTTTCAAAGGACCTGAAGAGGATTTTGTAAATTTTTTCAGAGGGGGGAAAAAAAGTGTTCGGACATTTAAAGGCAGATAATAAATCT